AGTTTTGCTGGATCTTATTACCCTGTGTACTCTAGTTTAGGTGTTGCACCACTGTGTAGCTTAGCCTCCCCTGCTGCGTCAGGCGTAGGACTGCCTAGGTTGCCTAGTCTAGTCGCTGCACCGGCTCCGTCCCCGGCCTCCGCCACTGCGTCGCTGTCCTTCACTCTCGACTCCGGTGCTTCTGCCTGCTTCTTCCGCGACCGTTCCACGCTCACGCCGCTTGCTGCACCTGCTGTTGTCTCTCTCGCTGACCCCTCTGCGGGTCCAGTCGTCGCGCGCAGTTCTACGTCCCTTCCCTGTTCGGCAGTTCCCTCAGGCTCCCTTACTGGCCTCCACGTTCCCTCGTTCTCCAGGAACCTGGTTGGTGTCGGCTATCTCCAGGACCTCGGCGTCACCACCACGTTCCCCGGGCACGAGCGGTTCGCTGTCTGTTCTGAGGCTGTCTCAGGTTCCCCCCCTTGCGACGTTCCCCCGGGACCCGGTGTCCGGTCTGTTTACCCTAGACACCGCTTCCCCCCCGGTTGGTGCGTCCTCCCAGGTCGCTGCAGCTTGCTCGTGTCGGTCCCTCGCTCACCCCTCCCTTCTCTGGCACCACCGCTTAGGTCACCCTGCTCTCCCGCGTCTGCGTCACATGTCCCAGCACGGTCTTGTCTTAGGTCTCCCAGCGTCGCTCCCTGCCCTTCCTCCCTCGACTGCGCCACCGTGCACGCCTTGCGTCGAGGGTCGGCTTCGCCGTGCTCCTCACTCCTCCTCGCTGCGTCCTGCTACTGCCCCCCTTCAGACCCTGCACTTGGACGTTTGGGGCCCTGCCCCCGTCCCCGGACCGCGCGGTGAGCGCTACTTCCTTGTGCTCGTCGACGACTACACGCGCTACACCACGGTGTTTCCCCTGGAGCGGAAGGCCGACGTGCCCGACGTTCTTCTCCCGTGGGTTGTGGCTGCGCGTCTCCACCGCGGTCTCCCCGTGTTGTGTCTCCACTCCGACCGTGGCGGCGAGTTCGCCTCTGGTCGGCTTGGACATTTCTGTCGTGCGGAGGGCATCACCCAGTCGTACACCTTGCCGGACTCGCCACAGCAGAATGGGGTTGCTGAGAGCCGCATCGGCTTGGTCATGGAGGTCGCCCGTACCTCCATGATCCATGCCGATGCCCCCCATTTTCTGTGGCCGTTCGCTGTTCGCTACGCTGCTCACCAGTTTAACCTGTGGCCACGCTCCCAGCGGCCGCAGGTTTCGCCGACCCTCCTTTGGACCGGGTCCCCCGGTGACGCGTCTGCGTTCCACGTCTGGGGCTGCCTTGCTCACGTTCGTGCCTCTGGCACGGACCAGCTCACTGCCCGCACTGTCCCCTGTGTCTTCCTCGGTTTCCCCCTGGACTCGTCTGACTGGCTTTTCTACCACCCGCCGTCTCACCGCTTCCTCCACTCTCGTGACGTCACCTTTGACGAGTCCGTCTCCTTCTACCGCCGCTTCCCTCACCGAGGTCTCCCAGTTGCCCCCCCCCTGTTCCTTGCTCCCTCTCCCTCGGTAGCCCCTGCCCCTCTCCCGCCTCGTCCTGCCCCGTCTGGTGTCTCCCACGTCACTCCCCTCCCGTCGGTTGTCCCCGTTGAGGAGTCTGCTGACTCTGGTGGTACCCCCGGTCCGTCCTTGCCGCGTCCCCCTTCCCCGGTGCCTCCGCCCCCACTGTCGCAGTCGCCGACCCCGCTGCCGCCGCCGTCGCCGTCGCTGCCGCAGCCGTCGCCGCTGTCGTCACCGCCGCAGCCGTCGCCGCTGCCGCCGCTGTCGCTAGCGCAGCCGTCGCCGCTGTCGCCGCCGCCGCAGCCGTTGCCGCCACTGCCGCCGCCGCTCTTGGCCCCTGGGGGTGCTGGTGTGGAGGAGGGTGTTCGTCCTGCGGCTTCTGGGGGTGCCGCTGGTGTTGGAGGGGGTTCTCGCTCTGGGGGTGTTGGTTCTGGGGGTGCTGCTGTTGAGTGTTCTGCCGACGGTCGTTCTGCCTCTGCTGGTCCGAGAGTTCCGGCCCAGCCGTCGTCGCCGCCGCAGCAGCCGTCGCCGCCGGTTTCCGCTCTCCGCCTGTTCAGCCTTCCCTCACCGGACCGCGCGCCGGTGTCTCCCCCACCGCCCGCTGACCTCCCTGTCTACGGTCCTGTGTTCCCGCCGCCGGACTCGTCTCCGGCCCGTCTTCCTCCTCGTTCCCCTCCTGTGTCTCCTCCGCTGTCCCCTGACCCTACCCCTCCGTCTCACATTTGGGCTCGCCGTCCCCCCCGTGCTCGTCCCGTCTCTCCTGTCCTGCCCACCCACCCTATGTTGCTCCGTTCCCGCTCGTCTCGTCCTCCCCTCCTCCCGTCCCCTCCTCCCTCGTCCCTTGCTGTTACACCTCCTCCGTTCTCTGACTACCTCCGTGCTTCTCGTCCCCTTGTCCCTCGGGTCCTTGCCTCTCTTGTTACCGACCCTGCTGTTCCTGTCTCGCGCCTTGACGCGCTTGTCGCCGCTGTCGCTGACTTCGCTTCTACCCGCCGCCTTGACTACGCTACCGCTCTGGTCTCTGACCCTGCCCGTCCTCTGTCCGTCGGGGGTGCTCCTGCCCTTGGCAATGACGTCCTAGAGGACAGGCAGTACGAGCTGGCTTTCCTTTCCGAGGCTGCTCCCCATCTCTGCTCCATGCTCCTAGTCCCTGAGGGTGACCCAGACGCCTTCGACATCCCGACCCCTCGCACCTACGCTGAGGCCACCTCGGGACCTTGGGCCTCTCAGTGGATAGCTGCCATGGAGCAGGAGATGGCATCTTGGAGGTCCACCGGCACTTACGTCGACGCAGTTCCCCCGCCTGGGGTGAACGTAGTCGATGGTCGGTGGCTCTTCAAGGTGAAGCGCCCCCCTGGAGAGCCGCCTGTCTTCAAGGCGCGCTACGTGGCCAGAGGTTTCAGTCAGCGCGAGGGGGTTGACTTCTTCCAGACCTTCGCCCCGACCCCGAAGATGACCACTCTTCGGGCGCTGCTACACGTAGCAGCACAGCGTGACTACGAGCTTCACTCCCTCGACTTCTCTACTGCCTTTCTTCAGGGCAGCCTACACGAGCAGGTCTACCTGCACCGACCACAGGGCTTCACTGGTACCTTCCCTCCTGGGACCCAGTGGCTTCTCAGGCGCCCGGTCTACGGCCTGCGTCAGGCTCCCCGCGAGTGGCACGACACGCTACGTGCCACGTTAGCAGACCTGCAGTTCTTTCCGTCCTCTGCTGACCCTTCACTGTTTGTGCGTTCCGGCCAGACTCCGTTCTACATCCTTGTCTACGTAGACGACCTGGTCTTCGCTACTCCTGACAGGGACGCACTGGCCTCTGTGAAGGCTGAGCTGCTGAAGAGACACACCTGCACTGACCTTGGAGAGCTGCGTCGCTATCTTGGCCTGCAGATCCCTAGGGACTGAGCAGCACGCACCATCACTCTGACCCAGTCACACTTGGTGCGTCAGGTCCTTCAGAGGTTCGGTCTTCAGTTCTCCTCCGCACAGCCCACACCTCTACCCGTAGACCATGGGCTCTCTGCTCCCGTTTCTGAGGAGCCAGTAGAGCCCAGTGGCCCCTACGCAGAGCTGGTGGGTTGCCTCATGTACCTGATGACTTGCACGCGCCCAGATCTCGCATACCCTCTCAGCATCCTGGCTCGCTTTGTGGCTACAGGCAGACACCGACCTCAGCACTGGTCTGCCGCTAAGAGGGTTTTGCGTTATCTTGCTAGTACATCAGGCATGGGGTTAGTGCTAGGAGGACGCAGGCCACTGGTCCTTACTGGGCACACAAACGCTTCTTGGGCAGACGACGCTGAGACGCTCAGGTCGTTACAGGGCTACTGTTTCAGCCTTGGTTCGGGTGCTATCTCTTGGAGATCCACTCGCTCGTCGTCTGTGGCTCAGTCTAGCTGTGAGGCTGAGATCTACGCTGGTGCCATGGCGGCACAGGAGCTCCGCTAGTTGACCTTCTTGCTCACAGACTTAGGTGAGCGGCCTAGCTCTGCCCCGGTCCTGTACGCTGACAACAGGGCCATGATACTCCTGTGTCAGGAGCCTCGGCTTGAGGGCAGAGCGAAGCATATCCAGCTGCGGTACTTTCTCCTGCGTGAGCTACAGCAGCGCCGCCAGGCCCGCGTAGTTCACTTGGCCTCAGGTGCCAACACAGCTGATATCTTTACTAAGGCGCTTACGCCTAAAGATCATCAGCGGCACTGTGTACAGCTTGGTCTTGTTCCTGTAGCTGCTCCCCTGTTAGGATCCTGATTGTGTACTCTGTATTATATATGCTTGTCAGACTGGCCTTGTGGCCTTACCTCCAGTGGCTGGGCTAGTAGTGCCACCCTGGCTTGCTTCAGTTTTGGTTGTATTCTTGCTGACTGGTCTCTAGACCCCTGCCTCAGTGGTTGGACCAGTAGTGCCGCCCTGAGCTGTTTGTTTCTTGTTTAGTTTCACCCCTTGTCTAGCCTAGGGGGTGTGTCAACTTATACGTATTATCTATGTAGAAGTTATAGGCTAGACTGAGGTATGCTTCTAGTGAGTACAACCAACTAGTATTTGTTCTAGGTTTCCACCTCTAGTCATTATTCGTTCTCATTTTGACACGCTATGGGCTGGCGGATGCTTTAGGGGCCGGCGAGGCGCGGTAGGCTAGGGCGAGGGGCGGAAGCGGGTGGGCGGATCTAACCTACTCATGATACCGTGTTAGAATACTATAATGATAGAAACAAGAGAGAACAAGGGAGATATAGGGTTTGGGTTGTACTCTCTAAGAACACACACCTATGTAGCCTATAATTTCTATATGTGATATATGTATAAATTGACAGTTGTGGTATGTATCGTACGTATTTGTTTCATCAGAAGGGTTGACAACCAGCGCTAAGTTTTTAGTTGTGGTCACCTTGGAATTGGGTGTTGGGTTTTGTGTTGTACCTTTTTCTTGATAGTATACTAACTCCACTTCAAAAATATGTATATATATATATATATATATATTCTTAGAAACAAATAACACCAAAAGCACAATAAACAGGGAGCAGAACACAGCAGCCGTAAGGATAGTGAACATGCACGAATCCAAACACACCAACTAGCCATCCAGTGCATCCCGGGGCGGTCAGACACAAGCAATTCCTACAAGACACTATGTTGGGGCTTTCCCCTGGAACTCACTCCATGGGCAAGGCCACGACTAGAGGTCTTCGAAAGGAGGCAACAGCGGTTGTTGCCAGAACAGCGTGACGCCAGCCAACAGGCCAAGGGCCCACCTGCCAGCCTCCACTCTCCAGCGCCTTCCTTGGCAGCTGGACGAGGCAGGACGGAGAGCAAGAGGCCATCTATCGCACACAAACCAGAAGAAACTACCGGCAGAGCCCACTCGCAGAGGGACCATGAGAGGACAGAGAGGAGGGAACCCGAAGAGGAGTTGACGAGACGAGACATGCACAAGTTGCAATCAGCGGCAGCCGTAGCCGCTGCTGCAACACCTGCACTGCCAAGACGCCAGCGGCCCCGTGTCACTGCCGCTTATGTCTCGCTTATTACTGACCCCAGCAGCTGCATGCTCTCTCCAAGCGCTTCTCAGCTCGGAAAGAGAGGAACAAGCGGAGAAGGAAGGCGCTCGGAGGAAAGGGAGAAGGCCAGGACGAAGAAGGAGCACGATAGTGCGCGCCGTAAGCTATGGGCAGTACGAGGCCGCTGCTGATGCTGATGCAGATGGTGGTGGCGAGAGAGGGAAGGATGAGGTGCACGAGGTGATGCAGACAGCCTACTACACGGAGACCGAGAGAGCCTCCAGCAACCATGACGAGCCGTCATTCGACTCGGTCCGGGCGAGCAGTCGTCGTGGTTTCCATTCACAGGAACGACGTCTGCACCGACATCAGGTGCCACTCGAATTCCTCCTCAGACGGCAGCGGCTCCTCGCCGTCAGACTCGTTTGCACCGTCACAGCCTTCCACGTCCTGGCCGTCAGAGTCGCCGGCAGCACTGCTGGCGGACGAGGACAGGGTGTCGAAGTAGAAGTCGTCGAAGCTCCCGCTGCTCCCGCTGCTGGCGCTGCTGGCGCTGCTCATGCTGCTGCTGCGCTTCAGCTCCTCGCCGCTCTCGTGGACCTCCGTCTCCCCACCAGCGGCGTCCAGCTTCTTTCTCAGGGCGAGCGGAAGGTCATCGCCGCAGCACCGGCTGAACCACGCCTCGAATTCGTGCATCGAACCCGGACGTTGCTCCTCCCCAGCTGCTGCCACCACCGCCACCGCACTCGCAACGTTGCCCTCTCGGACCGACGGCTTGCTGAAGCTGGGGCTCGTGGGGCCGCTCGTCGTCTCTGGCACCATCTTCGTCACGGCCTCCGCGCTCGCCTTGCCAGTGTGCTGCGACGCTGCACGGGCGGTAGCAGCAGCGGGGGTGGGAGGCGCGTTGCGAGTTGAGGCTGCTGCCATTTGGTGCAGCAGCTGCGCGTTTTGCTGGCGCTGCTGCTGCAGGAGCATGAGGAGGATCTGTCTCTGCTGCTGCTCCCACTGCTGGAACATCAGCTGCTGCTGGAGCTGTAGCTGTTGCTGCATCCCTTGATGCTGAGGCTGATTCACCATCTTACCTTGACTCCCGTTCAACGCGCAACCAGCGGCCTGCATCCTGTTTCCGCCAAAGGCGGCGGCACGTAGCAGGGCGGCTGTTGAAGCCATTTGGCGGCGGCGTGCTTGCTCGAGCAGCAATGCGGCGGCGGCAGCGGGCTTGTCTTTTGACGCGTTAAGCATCCCTTGCGAGTTCGCTGCGCCAGCAGCAGCTGCTGCGGCCGCTTGGGCATATTGGAAGTTGAGCTGGTGCTGCTGGTGCTGCATGGCGAGCATGTATTGCTGGAGCAGCTGTGGCGAGCCGGCAGACTGACCGAACGGCTGCACTGGCGAGGGCCTGGGACCGGCGCGGGGCGAGTGAGGGGCCATTGATGGTTCTCCCGCTGTTGAATGCCCTGTGCTTGCTCCTGATAGTCTATCGGTTTCTAAAGCTGGAGATGCTCGCTTTGTTTCCGCTGTTCTTCCGCGGATGGGGCTTTCGACCGAGGCCGGATTGGTTGACAGAAACGGTAGCTATGCTGCAGAGAGCTGTCGGAGAAACGCGTGATGAATTGTTGTGTGTTGCTGCTGGATATTGGGAGTACGCGCGGCTTTGTACGAGTCCAAGAATGTTACAATGACGAATCGCTCGCTAATTATGCTCCCTTCTTTCTCTCCCTGTAGACAGTGGAAGCTTGCTCGCACCAATTCGCCTTGCGTGAATTGCGGCGTCGGACCCAGCTTCCACACACTGAATGTGAAGCTGGGATGGCCCATCTATAATTGTGCCAACCTCCTGAATGCTTGCCCTGTCAGGCACCCGTCACACCAGTTCGGCCAAATTTGCTTCACTCCAAACGGCGGGCTGATTTTTCTATTTAATTTTTGGGTTGCGGAGCAACCTATTGCAATCGATCGGGCTGGTTTTTTTTTTTCAAGTTTGTGAAATAAAAATCAAATGTTTGTTGTGATGGAAATAAAACATTTTATGAAATGCTCCGCAACCCTAAGACGATCTCGTCGCCTCTTGTTTTTTTTTGGAACAAAAAAAAAACACACACACACACACACAAACGGCGACCGCGACACGGCCTTGCGCCAAGTCCGAGACCGAGAGGTGTGTGCGACTCATTTCTGACGTCGCCTGCGACTCTGCACTGTGTCGCTAGCGACCCGGCGTCCAAATTTCCAATATCGTTGGGGTGGGGTCGCGTCAAACGGGAATGGTTGTGGAAGGTTACCGAGCCGCGCCTGGTATCGCCTCCATCTGAATGTGGTTGGGTTGGGGGTTAGGCAAGGGGAAGGGGAGGAGGCAGCAAACATATTTGTCGCCCAAACCTCGACTGCGACTAATTCGGGCCGCATTTTTCACCTGTGGTCGTCCGAAAATGACGGCGAAACGTTAGCTTGGCGGGCTGTGTGACACTGTTCCACCCCAATGCAGCTACCCTTGTGCAATTTAGATGTGACCGAATCGCGTTTTGTCTCCTGTTGAGATGAATACCAAAACTGTGCCGTGTTGAACCCAAGGCGGTAAAGCGAATTATTTCGCCAGCGAATACAGTAACCAACGAAACGATACCAGCTGCGACGACAACACGCAAACGCGAGGAACCACACCGGACTGGTGGGCCATTTCATCGCCACAATTATCACTCGAGAAATGAAGTCCAAACTTTTCAGCCAACAATAATTGGGGGGCTGTTCGATTTGCTGAGGAAAAGCATTCCCTAATTGAGGAGTGTACATCAGTCTAAGGAAAGGGAAAGAACCTATTCTCACTATTAGGGGCCTCGTTAACATGTACGGTCACTGACACGATGTAAACAATCAGAATTAGCGAGTTCGCAACATGTTTCATCAGTCGGGTTCCACCGTTAGTCAGAAACTGCAGCACAAAAGTTCCACAAATGGTCAGTAGAAGTAACTGTCATAACTCGGTCACTAACCTCAGATTTAAAAGGGCTTGTTAAGTAGCGGGTAAGTGCGCCCATAACCCCCCAGGCTCTGCACCTGTAACCCTTTCCCGAGGATCTCAAGGGCAACCCCAGCGGGTCTCCGACAAGCACTACTAGTCGGACCACTGAGATAAAAGGCCACAAGGCCAATCAGTCAGCAAGTGTAGCAAGACAAGCAGGTATAGAACAACAAGTACAAGCAAATATAGTATGACTCAGGATACAATGAGTGGTGCTGCTACGGAGACAAGACCAAGCTGAGTACAGAACCGCTGACGGTCACAAGACGCAAGTGCCTTAGTGAAGATTTCAGCGGTGTTGGCCTCTGAGCCCAACTGTACCACTCGAGCATGGCCGCGCTACTGTAACTCACGCAGCAGGAAGTACCGCAGCTGGATGTGCTTCGCCCTACCCTCAAGTCGAACCTCCTGAGACAGGAGGATCATGGCCCTGTTGTCAGCAAACAGGACCGGGGCAGACCTAGGCTGCTCACCTAAGTCAGTGAGTAAGAACGTCTGCCAGCGAATCTCCTGAGCGGCCATAGCCCCAGCGTAGGCCTCTGCCTCACAATTGGACTGAGCTACAGACAACGACCTGGTGGACCTCTAAGAGACTGCACCAGCACCAAGAATAAAACAGTAGCCCTGAGACAACTTGAGCATCTCCATGTCGTCAGCCCACGACGCGTCTGTGTGTCCAGTGAGCACCACTGGCTCCCGTCCTCCTAGCACAAGCCCTAGTCCTGATGTACTCGCTAGATAACGCAGTATCCTCTTGGCAGCCAACTAATGGACTGGTCGGTGTCTGCCTGTCGCAACAATGCGAGCCAGGAGACTGAGAGGGTACGCTAGATCTGGTCGAGTGCAGGTCATCAGGTACATCAGGCACCCCACTAGCTCTGCGTATGGACCACTAGCCTCGACCAGGTCAGTCGGAACAAGAGCAGAGAACTTGTGACCATAGGCAGAGGGGTGGGCTGTGCTGAGGATAATTGGAGACTGAACCTCTGGAAGATCTAGTGCATCATATGGGACTAGGAGAGTGTGATCGTAAGAGCAACACGGTCACGAGAGATCTCCAAGCTCAGATAGAGCCTCAGCTCCCCCATGTACGTACAAGTTTGTCTCCTGAGTAGCTCGGCCTTCACAGAGGCCAATGCGACTCTCTCAGGATTAGCAAAGATAAGATCGTCTACATACACTAGAATGTAGAACGATGTCTAACTCGTGCAAACAAAGAGAGTGGGGTCAACAGAGGACGGAAAGAACTGCAGCTCAGCAAGAGTGGTGCGAAGCGTATCGTGCCACTCACGGGGTGCCTGACGAAGGCTGTAGACAGTACGGCGCAGGCTCCATTCGGTCCTAGGTGGGAAGGACTTAGAGAAGCCTAGAGGATGTCAGGGGTAGATCTGCTCGTGCAAACTACCCTGCAGGAACGCTGTGGAGAAGTCGATTGAGTGAAGCTCGTAGTCACGCTGCGCGGTTATGTGAAGAAGGACCCCAAGAGTAGTTATCTTCGTGGTTGGGGTGAAGGCCTGGAAGAAGTCCACACCCTCACGCTGACTGAAGCCTCTAACCACGTAATGCGCCTTGAACTTCGGCGGCTCTCCAGGTGCGCGCTTCACCCTGTAGATCCAACGACAATACCAGCCTGCAAAATTCTATTATTCTACAACAACACTTAGTTCAACAATTGGGCATACTACGGATTGCAGAGAAGTAGTTGTTTTCTCTTGCAAATCCTCGCCAAACAAGTTGATGCGAGAAGCAGTCACACTAGAGTCATCAGCATACATCACATGCAGGGCAGCAACAATCTCATCCATGTCCATATCAAAGATCTGAATGCTACGGCAAAGCAAGCTGTGCCAGTCGGGGAGGTCGGGCGACGGGTAGAAGCGCTGACAAAACAGGTCGTCCAGGCGACGGAAACAACGGTCGGAGGTGTGACCGATCCTATCGCAAACAAAACCACGGTGAGGACCGGTCTATAGCTGGTACTAACAGCGTCCGTCACCCGAACCGCCACCCGGCAGCCCACCACGCGCACGACCACCACGTCCAGCGCCACCACCAGCGCCAGGCCACCCAGGTTGGAGACCAACCGCCCGCTCTGCTGCTGCGGCTGCTGCGGCTGGTGCGAGTCCGGCTGCGACACCTGCGGGTGCTGAGACGGCTGCTTGGTTGCAGCTGTCAGGGTCCCCTCGTCAGCGCTGCCACTAGGCGACCCGACTCCACCACCACCTCCACCTGCACCGCCACCCCCACCGCCGCGCCCAGCCTTGGGGCGGCAGCCCTTCCCTGAACGGATCTGCGCTGCAGCTGCAGACTTAGCCACAGCAGCAGAACCGTCAGAGAAGGTGCAGTGAGCAAGGGCACAGCCCTGAAAGATAGGGACCGGCACAGTACCGCTGGTCTGAGCGATAGAGCGCTGGCGGGTCTCTATGGCAGGCAGGGTGTCGACAAAGTCAGTGAGAGTGAGGTCACCGGGGTGGATGCTAAGGAAGCGGTCGCGAGCAGTAGCAAGACGGTCAGGGAGGTGGGTGGCAAGCACAGTCCTGAAAGATAAGGACCGGCACAGTACCGCTGGTCTGAGCGATAGAGCGCTGGCGGGTCTCTATGGCAGACAGGGTGTCGACAAAGTCAGTGAGAGTGAGGTCACTGGGGTGGATGCTAAGGAAGCGGTCGCGAGCAGTAGCAAGATGGTCAGGGAGGCGGGTGGCAAGAGGGTAGAGCAGAGGGGCGGCTGAAAGGCTCTAAGCCGGGCCTCAGTGCAGGCAGCGCGCCAGGTCGCGTCTATCGCGGAGGTGGGCAGCGAGATTAGTGACAGTGGGGAAAGATGCAAGGTCAGGGAAGAGCATCGGTAGGATCAGGCAACCTACAGAGGTAGCAGGCGGGGTGGAATAGCGCTTGACTACGGCATCGGGAAATTCCTGCGCAGTCCTGACTCACCTAAAGCGGGGGCGCTCAGACAGGGGGAGGGCATGACTGATCGCAAGCTGCGCGATGGCGTCACGCGACAGCCAGACTGAGTGGGCAAGGGCAGCCGCTGCGGCGGACTCACGGTCAGCGGACGTGGGGTCAGCGGGCAGGGGAGCAGGGGGGTCAAGGCAGGGGAGCGTACCGTCAAGGTGGACCGCCAGGGAGTGGCCGTCCTGCCGCTGAACAGTGAGATGACGACGGAGGTCGACCAACCACGTGTCAAACTCGAGCGGCTGACCCTTTGTGTCGAAGCGAAGCACGGAGTCCGCCATCAGGAGCGATGCAGCAGCAGCGCAGTATTGTGCAGTGCGGTGCAGTGCAGTGCAGTGCGGTGGAGAGCGGTGCTGTGCGATGCAGTGCGGTGCATAGCAGTGCAGTGCGGTGCAGAGCGGTGCAGTGCGATGCAGTGTGGTGCTGTGCGGTGCAGTGCGGTGCTGTGCGGGGCGCGGCGACAATCTGGGCACTGAGGGCCGGCGGCGGGCCGGCTGACGTGGAACGGGCGCGGGGCCGGTCAGGAACGGGCGCGAGGGCCGGCTGGGAACAGGCGCGCGAGCCAGCTAGGACCGGCTCGTGGGGCTTGCTAGGAAAGGGCGCGGGGCCGACTAGGGCGCGCGCGAGGGCCGGCTAGGAACGGGTGCGGAGGCCAGCAGCGAGCGGGCATGAGGGCCGGGCGGAACGGGTGCCAGGGCGGCTAGGAAAGGGCACGGGGGCTAGCTAGGAACGGGCACAGGGGCCGGCTAGGAACGGGCGCGGGGCGGACAAAGGGCGGGCGCGGGACTAG